TGAAATAAAGCAGATATGTGGAAGGTCTCAAATATGTAAAAGCATTATATTGAAAGAAATGGGACTTGAAAAGGATTATTATAGTGGCATGTAGGTTGCTTCGCAGCCTCTGAGACCGAGGTAAACTTGGACTCACTAACCGATGTGTCCTAGACATATCATCTTAGTGCCGGTGGTAAGCGGGTTTGTTGTAGCAATACGACTTGCCCGTGGACATCGCACACCCTACCGTTTGTGGGCGGCGTCTTAGCGCATAGCGTTATGATACGTCGGCTATCTTTCGGATTAGGGTGAGTGTGTTTGGTAGTACTTTTAAGTGCAGCAAGCATACTCAACTTCATGTCTTAGTGCAATAGCGCTATGATACGTGGAGTTTTGGCTACTAACGTCTTAGTACCGTACTACTATGATACGTTGGTGGTATTTTTAGTTAACAACATTATCAAATTTTGTTACCAAAGTCGATAGGGATCATGTAGGTGTGTTGTGAGGGGGCGCCATCCGTATGATAGTTGCATTGATGCTTACTGCTACTTGCAGTATTGCGTCTTGTGATGGATCTGCGGGTGTACTGCACCTGAATTGACGCATCTTGTGGTTCTGGTCGATGGAGGTATGCGGGTGGTGATGTCTGCTGGGACTGTATGGGGGACCTTGGGATGGTGTAAGCCCGACGATAGTCGTATTGATGATTGTTGCATTCTGCAGCATTGCGTCTCTACGATGGTTGTTTGGCGGGTCGCTATTCTCAATGGCGCTCTCCGCGTCTTGGTTTGACTCACAACCTAAGTAGCTTTGCCCAAGTCGGGTCCCTTCATTTCGGGGCTGCAGACTGTCTGTCCTCCATGATGTTTTATATAACAACTTAATAATATATCTCTATAAAGTTCCCACCTTTGAGAGATTGAAGGCAACTTGTTGGTGGGTGAGACAAACATGATCGAAAAATGCATATACTCAACGTCAGTGACACAAACCCTTTCTGATGGCGAATTATTAATATTATCTTATAACTGCCTATTGGCTATATCTGCCATTGTATTGGTTGGTGGAGCATATGTGTCGACCTCATGCGGTTGGTAGCTGGAGGGAGAATCTGAGGAGGCTCTCAAGGCTGCGGCCGAAAGCCGCGCTACGTGGGACCCCATTCCCTTGAGGTGAGCGGTAGACTATGCATGCCTTACACTTACATCACGTCTGCAGGAACGGCGGTCTGGCAGGTGGTGCCGCTCGCGGAGGGCTTATTATGGCCAGTGTGCCGATTGTTCTTATATTGAGTGATCTTATATTTGTAATGTGATATGCAATAAACAATTTGAATTTGAATTTGAATTTGTTGCCTAACCCGTGTGACGTACACTTCACTGTGGTTGGATTTGATCGTATTCTGTATGGCGTTTACACGCATTGACATGCGCGACTTCGGTCGATGTTTGTGCTTACGCACTATCAAGGGGCCAAGTCCTCTTTTACTGGTTCGCCAGTTATTTTGCTGTGGACTACGGTCCAGTTCCCAACTTTGCGTATCCTTCGGGGGGAGCGCATTAAAATGGTTGGCGCTCACCGTGCGCGGCGTGTGTGGGGCCGTGTACCTCCTCCACATTTTTTTTTAAAATGTGGGAGAGCGAAGGCCTTGTAGCTGGTATTTGATATAAATATTGTGAGCCTTTTCCAAGCGGTAAGGAATTAACTAATAAGGAATTGACTGTTGTGAACCAGATACAAGTGGAATAGGGACAATTTACTGTTCTTAACCTTTTTGAGCTCCGTCTTCGTGAACGGGGTTCTTTAGCTTATAAGACTCTACCAACAGCTTTTGATTGCTCTCGTGAATATTCATTCTTCCAAGATACACCTAAAAGAACTAAGTTACTATACAAACACAACGTAAAAAAGGGTCCTAACTGAGACGATCACGTCATAAATTTATTAAACGGCTTATATTTAAACCTTTAGAAAGATCAAGATATACTGGTCGTGTAAATTAGATATATTTATATATCTTACAGATATAGATTCTAAAGAAATACAAGTATAAGTGGATATATAGAACAAAAGAAAAAAGGAGGGGGGGGGGTTCGTTACACTAACATAATACGATATTTATAGAAACAGAAATAGAAACTTTTTTATTCAATATAGATTATAAATAATACTTATTGAAAGTCACTCTTTTAGTAGCTTACAGTCATGTAATCACGTTTAACCACACAAAACAAATTAGAAATAGCTTGGTAGCGATCATCTCATTCCCAGGGGTTATTATCATCCATAAATTCCTTTATTATAATAACCTTTTTATACACACTTTGTTTAATAAAGTTTTTGAACTTTGAGCAGGTCAAATTTTGTATATTTTCTGGGATTTTGTTGTAAAAGCGTATACTTCGCCCCAAGAATGAATTACTGACTCGGTGTAGTCGAGTAACTGGTACTACTAGCTTGTGTCTGTTCCTAGTATTTACAGAATGAATATCACTTATTTTTGTATATCTACCTTTATTTTTGTGTACGTTCATTACATTTTCATAAATGTATTGAGAGGCCAAAGTTAATATATTTATTTACTTGAATTTTTGTCGGAGCGACTCTTTAGGTTTTAAATCATAGATTGCTCTTATGGCCCTCTTCTGTAAAACAAATAAGATTTCAGTGTCAGTCGCGTGTCTCCATAGCAAAATACCATGTTATATGCTATAGAAATAGCTAAAGTAAACAAGTCTGGCTGTTTCCACACTGATAAGATTTCTAATCTTTTTTACAGCATATGCTGCAGAACTAAGTCTGCTTTGCTAATTTTGATATATGGGGGGCTCCATTTAAGCTTCGCATCTAGTGTTATTCCTAGAAAAATGGTGATATCGATAAGACTCAGTTTCATTTTTGACATTTGGAGTCATAAATTTCATACATTTCGTTTTAGTGCCATTTAAATGCAATTTATTAACATTAAACCAAGTTACTAATTTATATATAGCATTATTTACTTCGTCATATTTTAATAATTTTAATAATATTAAATCAGCAAATAATACTATATTATGGTTATCTACTACTTGTAATGTAAGTCATTAATATAAACAAGAAATAGAAACGGGCCGAGAATTGAGCCTTGAGGCACGCCTGATTATACAATCGACCCGGAAGAGCTCATACTATCAATGACAACTTTTTGCGTTCTGTTACTTAAATATGAAACGATTAATTTAAAAGTGTTACTTCTTACACCGTAACGTTGTAGTTTCCTGATTAATGTTTCATGGTGAACACAATCTAAGGCTTTAGATAGGTCACAAAATATACCCAAAGCATCCTGTGAATTCTCTCATGCATTGAAAATATATTTAATAAGCTCAACACCAGCATCAGTTGTCGACCGACCCCTTGTGAAACCAAATTGATTTTTATGAAGTAAACTATTTACATTAAAAAAAAATTACATTTGATCAAGAATATTTTTTTCAAAAACCATACTAAGTGTTGGCAGTACAGAATTGGTCTAAAATTGTCAAGGTCTAATGTACTGCCAGAATTGAATAAAGGTATTACTTTACTATGTTTCATTAAATCAGGAAACATACCATATTCGATACTAGTATAAAAATAATATCTAGTTCAGGCGCGATTATATCTATTATAGACGCAATAATATTATAGGAAATCCCCCACAGATCTGCAATTTTCTTAATAACATTAGTTTTAAAATAATTTAAAATATCTTTTAATGATATTTTATGAAATGTAAAATTCTTTTTTTTAAATAATGATTAAGCGACTTATTGCTTAAGATCGGAATATCAGTAAAATATTTCTCAAAAACCATTGCAACGTCCTGATCTGATTCAGTTAATTTGTTGTTAAAACATAAACGGTAGTTTGAATTGTGAGAGTTGGCCTTACGCATTTCACTATTAATTATACTCTACGTCATTTTAATTTTATTATAAGCCGTCTTAATTTTGTTGCTCAAATGCAAAGACTTGGCTGTGGAGCACACTCTTTTAAATATTTTTGAATGTTTTTTTACATATTCCTTAAATTCGGCGCTAGGGTTATATGACATTTCATGGTAAAGTTCATATAACCTTTGTCTGTTCTTATGGACTCCTACTAACACCCATTCATTGACTGCCTTCCGACTGTTATATATATACTAGCTGACCAGGCAGACGTTGTTCTGCCCTCTCCGACGACCCTGTGTCCTATAAAAATTCTTAAATTCGTAATAAAAAATATTGAGGGTCACTTATAGGGATAAAAACTATCCTATCTCTGAAGTTGGACCAAACTACACAGTGTGCAAAATTTCATTGCAATCAGTTTAGTAGTTTAGGAGTTCATCGCGGACAAACAATGTGACACGTAATTTTTTTATATATATGTACATCGGCTTATGATCGATAGTGATATATTTACACAACATAACTAAACTAATCCTCAATCAACAAAACAAAAATAACACGATTCTCAACAGAGTGACAGGATCGCAATGCTAATGTCCTAGCCCAATATGATAGATAAAATCTAGGCTTTGAATCGGCCAGCCGGAGAAGATGGGAGAGAATCGTGCTGTCAAGATAGCTAATTAGGGGCGACTTAACCGCTCTATCTGATGACAAAGTGCGCACATAAATGGTGTTAAATTGTTGAAAACAACGTTCGTGGTTTACAAAACCTAGAATTAGTCTTCTCGCCTGCTCGCAGTCAACTTTGAAGTTACCGAGAATTGACCGCAAATTTGTTCGCAATGTATTATAGCCGCAGAGTCTATCTAGTAGTTATACATAAACGTCTCTAAATAAAGCAAACAAAAATTTTCTTTCAATCATTTAATGGAACTTAACACTATCGACAAATTTCTATTTATATTCCTTTATCTATTGTTAACCGTCTATGCATTTTCATGTATTAGGTACATTCAAAGTGCAAATCCGTTACGAGGTACACGGCTGCAAAACTAAGTTCCCGCTGGATCAACTTTACACTTCGCTGGGCTCTTATCAGCTGTCCTTTTTCCGTTTGAACAGCGCACTGAATTTGCCGGCCTCGTACGTCGGCATGAAAGGGAGATAAGTCGTCCATTTCCATCTGGAAGCGTATTGGTAAAAGATAAAAATAATGCTGATAACAAATATTTTCCGATTCTTTTACGTTCAATATAAAAGAATCGGAAAATATTCCTCTGAATCTGTAGAACATTCAGTGCGTAAAAAGTGAACTGAATGTCTTCCTTTAATGTTTATATTTCGTTTGGCGAGTGTAGAGAACTGGAGATCCATTTTACTGGAAGCGAGGCATTCCATCTTAGTCCTCACGGGTGACAATGCATCTACATTTTGATTCTTAATTGCGGATAGATGTTAACGGGACTCAGCACCCACTTACCATCAGGTAGACTATGTGCTGTCACCTTTATTCTATACATCAAATTTTTTTAATACAAAAGTAGTCTAAGTTACTCCTTATAACATCAGCTATCTGCCAGTGAGAGTCCCGTCAAAATCTCTTCAACCGTGTCGGAGATTAGTTGAGACAAACAGACAGACAAAAACTTAGTTTCATATATATTTATTATTTATTTATTTAACAGTTTATGTACACACATACTTCGATATGAAAATGGTAAAAATATAATTATGTACAAATAGGCACTGCTTATTCCATGATGAAATTTCTTTCAGCAGGCCTACAGTTAAAAACTGTTTGTTAATTTGACGTTACAAAGAGACACTTCAATTTTATTTGTTTGTATAGATCTAATCATGGTTACTATTGGAACTACATAAACACAATAATATAAGAAAATAATTTACCTGCGTATGTAGGACATGCCGACGGGGAAGTCGTAGGTGTCGCCATGCTCGCTGACTCCAGCCGCTTCCAGCGACATCTCCTGCGCCCATGCCTCCAGTCCACGCTCCTCATCCGTCCCTACACAAAACAACACAATGACTCGCAAATCACAAAATTAATCATCATTACAGGCATTTATAAGTCCACTGCTGAACATAGGCCTCCTCTAAGGAATGCTACAAAGCACGGTTCTGAGCCACCGGCCTTTAGCTCGTCAAGTGACCTTGAGCTCCATCATACGGCCAGTAGTGAAGGACCATGTCTCATTATCACTTCAACTCATCACTGAAGTGTACCTGACGAGACGATGTGTCGTACTCTCCCGAACCGAGTTGAATCCGGCGATTGACCTCTCGGTCGAAGTTGGACTTGCCTAGTCAGACTATATGTCCTAGGTAAACATACTCGTCGACAATTTCGAGCGTAGTACTCCAAACAATTACCGACAGAGGGGTGATATGGATGTTACACATGACCTTCGTTTTGTCCATGTTCATCTTAAGACCTATCCGTTGGGAGACACTATTGAGGTCATTGAGTATAGTGCTTAGGTCCTCCAGCGATCCTGCCATAAGGACTATATCGTCGGCAAATCGAAGGTGAGTGATGTACTCGCCATTGATGTTAATACCGTATCCTTTCCAGTCCAGAAGCTTGAAAACGTCTTCCAATGCAGCGGTGAAGAGTTTCGGGGATATAACTTCACCCTGTCTTACACCTCTCTGCATTTGGATAGGTTTCGTACTCTGGTTCTGTACTCGGATAGCCATCATAGCCCTACTGTATAAACTCTTCAGCACTTTGATATAACGACAGTTAACTTGGCACCACTGAAGGGACTGTCCAAATTTCGACGGAATTCAAAATGTTCTCATAGTCCGCATATGCAAGGCAAATGTACTCTTTGATCTTTTGTACAATTTGCCGAAGATTATGTATGTCGTCTATAAAGGAAAAGCTTTTTTGGCAACCGACTTGTTCAGGAAGCTGGAATTCGTCGAGTCTGCGTGTGAGACGAATGACTCTCGGAAGCAGCATGGAGACGTGGCTTAGAAGGGAAATCGGTAGTTCTCCAACTGAGTGTTGTCTTCTTTCTTGAAGAACAAGATCACCGCACTTCTCCTAAACGCATCCGTAGTAGTGCCACCAAGCTCTTGCTTCTGAAGGACTTCAAGCACTGTTATTCCACTCGTTTTCAGAAGCCCCGCTGTAATTCAATCCTTGCCCGGGCTGGAGAGCCAATTTAATCTCGCTCAGACTGACGTCCGGGATATCATGGCAATACTGTCGGATAAGACTTGATTTTCTTTATCATTTCTAACACTAGCGTGTGGCTCCAAGGATATGTGTACTGCTGCCCGTAGAACCTCTCAATCTCACTTAAAATCTCAGGTATCCTGGAAACAATGCTACCACATTCGATCTTCAGCTTTGTAAGTTGGCTCTTTCTGCTAGACAGATCTCTGACAAAGACTTTGGAGCCTTGATTCCGCTCGATCGCTTTATCAATAGGAGCTGAATTGAAGTTGCGTAAGTCGCGCAGCATGCATTTGGAGATCTGCCTTTTTATTGTGTTCAGTATACTGTCATATCTGCTTAAGACTACAGTTTTATTACCCGCCTAACAGCCATGAGATTGAGAGTGTGATTGCAAAGTTTTTAGATTCTTCTGTTACGGATCTTGCAGAACTTAGCTACGATCACATGGACAGTTTCCATGAGCTAGTCATTCATATCGTCCACTGCATTACATTCTTCTAGGCACTGAAAACGATTTTGTTACTCGAGCCGAAGTTTTCGGGGCTTTAGATTAGAGCACGATGGGGACGGAGCGTTGACTTCATTGTACGTGACCTCTCGAATTTAACGTTTAGGTTCAGTTTGCCTATCCCAGCGCAACTTGTTTATCTCTTCTTCCATCTCCAGGATCCTCTCGTCAGTCCGCAGAGTGAGTGCGTTATATGTTGCCGAATCGAGTCATCTTAGGTCACAACCGACAAACCTCCACCGGAGATTCTTAGCACACCCTGCCCCACCGTTACCGTGGTCGCCACCGTAGCCAGAAAAAGCGGGGCCACCGGGGACTGGGGGCCGTTTTTTGTAACTCTTGCCATGGGGGATATATTGACATAGTTGGCATGCTTGACGGGCAGGTTGGCAACCGCAGCACTTTTTTATTATTTTGCTGTTATCGGAAAGTTGCTGCTGCTTATCTCCTGCCTCAGTTCCCTCTGTCACGTCTTAAGACACCCACGAGAAGATATATTTACATCGCTAATGCACGGTCCACGGTTCTTGATTGGGTGGTGGTGCATGGCCGTGTTTAGTTGGTGGTGCGAATTGTCTGATTAATTCTGGCAACGAACGAGACTCTAGCCCGCTAAATAGAAGTCGTCACTTAGGTGTGCGTGTCTTCGGTTGCGCAACGCAGTGGAGACGTATTAAAATTCTTCCTAGACTGCCTGGCGGCTTCAAGCCGCACGAGATTGAGGAATTAGTAATTGCTCAATCTCGTGCGGCTGTCTGTAATGCCTTTAGATGTCCTGTGCCGCACGCGCACTACATCCCCCATAAACTTAGCCATGGTTACCTATAATTAAAAAAAGCTTGTTTGCATTTTCCGTTGTAAGATTAAGTATTTTTATTATAATTTGTAAAGCTAATATGTCTTTTTGGTGTTTAAATAAATAAATAAAAATTACCAGGTATGAGGTTATCGAGCAGGCAACCGATCACCCCTCCTACGAGGATGGAGGTGGACAGCAGCACCTGCAGCACGGCGTCCAGCGCCTCCAGCCCGGTGCTGATGCGGCCGCTGTGCGCTGACATCCAGCGCGTCAGCACCAGTGGGAAGAACAGGCTGAACCCGATGATGTACAGGTTACGAGAGCTGTTCAGGTTCACATATTGCAGCGCAGACAGACCTGTATGAATTTAACATTGGTTTTATGAAGGTTTCTTTTGAAACCATAAGCCAGTGCTTGACCACTATCCCTACCTTGGATACATTGTCTAGGCTTTGCAGGCAATATAACAAGATTTCCAAAAAATTAACATTTAATATAAAATGATTTCTTATATTTACGCGAACACTACACATTGAATAAAACTATTTTTACGGATTTTATCGCGTTTAATTAACTTATTTTATATTCCCGACGTTTCGGTTGCTTTCCAGCAACCATGGTCACGGGGACTGAGGTGATTGACGTCCCGATGTCAAAGTTAACCCGGAGTACCTTCAGCTTTTTAATTATTAATTTTGGTCCGATCTACGCAGAATGAACTAACTGTGTCTTGAAGTCTTACAGTGGTATGCTTGGGTTTAGTTTTAATTTTATGAATTACAGGATCCCAAGCAGGTGGTAGTACCCAGCCTCCCTCTCTATTGAAATTAGGATGTTTTTTAATTTCAATAGCCTCACGTATCATCCTTGGCAGGAATCGATGTTCTTTCGCGAGGACTTGTGGTTTATCAAATCTAATGTAATGACGGGGGCCGTCTAGGATATGATCACAAACTACAGACTTCCCGGAACGTTGGTGCTTCACGTCAGCTATGGGTTCTTTTACGCGGGTTTTTATTGGTCGTTTTGTTTGCCCTATATATGAGAGACCACACTCACAATCAAGCTTGTATACTCCTGCATCTTGTAGAGGAATATTGCACTTGACGGATGGTAAGAACTAACTAATCTTCTTCGGCGGCTTGAATAATGTTCTAATAGAAGCTCGCTTCAAGATGTAGCCAATCTTGTCTGTGACACCTCTGACATATGGTAGTACAGCAGGCACACGCTCGACTGTGGCCGGCTTCACTCGGTCACTGTGACGTAGGCGCGGAACCCGAAGCTTGTTGTCGTGCAGAACCTGCTTGACGTGCTGAAGCTCGGCGGCCAGGTGTTTGCTGTCACAGATCCCTCGTGCTCTCTGCAACAAAGATTTGCCCACGGTAGCTAACTGTGAAGGGTGATGGTGGGATTCACCGATTAAGTATCGGTTTGTATGGGTCTTTTTTCTATACACAGTGTGACCTACGGTGTTATTAGGATTTCGAATGACTAACACATCTAGGAAAGCTTAGTTAGTCACAGTCGAGCGTGTGCCTGCTGTACTACCATATGTCAGAGGTGTCACAGACAAGATTGGCTACATCTTGAAGCGAGCTTCTATTAGAACATTCTTCAAGCCGCCGAAGAAGATTAGTCAGTTCTTACCATCCGTCAAGTGCAATATTCCTCTACAAGATGCAGGAGTATACAAGCTTGATTGTGAGTGTGGTCTCTCATATATAGGGCAAACAAAACGATCAATAAAAACCCGCGTAAAAGAACACATAGCTGACGTGAAGCACCAACGTTCCGGGAAGTCTGCAGTTTGTGATCATATCCTAGACGGCCCCCGTCATTACATTAGATTTGATAAACCACAAGTCCTCGCGAAAGAACATCGATTCCTGCCAAGGATGATACGTGAGGCTATTGAAATTAAAAAAACATCCTAATTTCAATAGAGAGGGAGGCTGGGTACTACCACCTGCTTGGGATCCTGTAATTCATAAAATTAAAACTAAACCCAAGCATACCACTGTAAGACTTCAAGACACAGTTAGTTCATTCTGCGTAGATCGGACCAAAATTAATAATTAAAAAGCTGAAGGTACCTACTCCGGGTTAACTTTGACATCGGGACGTCAATCACCTCAGTCCCCGTGACCACGGTTGCTGGAAAGCAACCGAAACGTCGGGAATATAAAATAAGTTAATTAAACGCGATAAAATCCGTAAAAATAGTTTTATTCAATTTAATATGAATAAAAAACCAACTTTAAAGAACTAAAAAGAAAAAAATTATTCAATAATAGCTCCTAAGGCCTGCGCAAATTAGCATAGTTTTTATGAAGGTTTCTTTTAAACCGTAAACTAGTGCTTGACTACTATTCTAACCTTACAGTGAAAAATTCAAAAAACAAAAAACAGACTTTAAACAACTAAAAAGAATAAAATAATTCTTTAAAAGTTTCTAAAGTGGGTGCTAATGCTAAGACTTGGCCGGTATTCAATGTCGAATTCGAACGGAAACTCCACCATTTGACATTGTAAATGACATGATTGACAGTTTGAGTTGAAATTCGAGTCCCTTAAAACCGGCCTTCGTGTATTGAAAAATAAAAGCCCCAACTGCACAAGCCATTCTGTCAAAAACATTTTATTTTTACGAACACCATGTAGAACTATGAATAAAAAAAAATTTAAGGTCGATTCGAAATTTACGAATAAACATACAAAAAACTATAAAAGAGGAGTATTGAAAATTTTCTCCTTTTTTAAAATCGGCTAAAAATAACGGACTGGATATTTTGTTTTGAAAATGGAATACAATGGAACGAACAGATCATCTAATGGTAAATGGCTACTGTAGTACTTACTATACCTGCAAACAATTTCAAATTAAAAAAAAAATCGGTTGTCTGTAAAGTCGGTTTACTGACGATAGTTGAACGTGACAACGCCGATTGTGGCTCTTTGTCGCTCGCTCCGCGCTCTCGCTTGCACTTCAAGCCTTAAATGGAACGCCTCAGAGGGAGTAACGCCGCATGAGTCATGTTTTTTCGTGCGTGCAGCCAGCTTCATCGAATTATAAGACGTTGTCACGTCAAAAGGTTACAGAAAACAACAGACAACTCACCTCCGAGGACTGGAATGGCTCATGGCCTGAAATTATACGGGTTCTATATCATTCAGACTTGGACACCGTAGAACAGGCATTGCCGCTCGAATGCTGAAATAGGTTAGACTGTGATACCTACCCAGACGAACTTCTAGGCAGTTAAAAGTCCTACCACCTAGAAATATTACTACAACGCACACTTTTGTCGATGAGTATAATAGGGTAGTTGTTGGGAGCACTTCGCTTGAAGTTGTCTATGATTCTGTTTACTATTGTCCGACTAGGCAAATCCAACTTCTAACGAGAGGTCAATCGACGTATTCAACTCGGCTGCGCAGCGTTCGGGAGATTACGATGTTTTTATAGAAGAGGGAGCAAACGAGCATACGGCTGTCCACCGCCGCCCATGAACAACTGCAATCCCAGGGGAATTACATGTGCGTTACCGGCATTTTAAAATCTATCATCCCGATAAGATGTATCGTCACAAGATGATAGAACCAGTGCGTGTTGCTAGTGATTATAAATGGGTCTGAGACGTGATCCTTCGCTGATTGCCATATGAGGAAGCTCAAGGTCATTTTGCGAGCTATGGAGACGGCTGTGCTAGGAGTTGCTCTGCGCGATAGTCTTAGAAATGAGGATATTCACAATAGAAACAGAGTAACCGACACAGCTCTACGGATCAGTTTACTTAGACTTTCAGCTCATAATATAGTCTGTTAAACCGAAGTAGAGTTTACGGTGTTTGTAGTGTATTTAAATTTTTTGTTTTCTATTCACAATCTTGTTTCGGTCTTTTTAAAAATTACTTAAGTCTTAAGTGTATTACTTTTAAATTGTCTTTTTGCAATCGTGTGTTTTTGATTTCTTTTATTATTTATTTTATTTTATATATGCTTTTAACAGTGGTAGAGCCACGCGGCAGCTTTTGCTGTCGCACAGATGGGCCGGCTCGAACCGGGGTGGTACCACGATCTCACAGAAAACCAGCGTGAAGTAGATATTTACCTCTGCGTTTCGCTTGGTGAGTGCAGGTGGCCAGAGGCCCTTTTTACTGGAAATGAGGCATTCCATCTTAGTCCTCACGGGTGACAATTTGCATCTACATTTTGATTTGTAATAGAGGATAGATGTAGATGTATATGGGCCGCAGCAACCACTTACCATCAGGTGAACTGTGTGCTCGTTTGTCACCCTTACCCTATAAAAAAAAAAATATATGCTATATACCGCGGTATCTTCGTCAATAATGAACAGATTTTGGTGAATATTTTTTTATTAAATGGGTTACTTCGGGAGTGCTCTTAAAGAATTTCAGAAATTTCATCCCTAAGTGTAATATAGGGGATGAAGTTTTTAATGGAACTATTTAGACGACTTAGATTGTGGTATTCCTCAGTCCACACAAATAGTAAAAAAAATTACATTTTATAAGAAATAAAATCCGATTTCAAATAACCAAAAAATAATTTCAGATTCTGAAGTCAGCGCTATGATCCTTCTATACAATACGTCTCAGCATCAGCTTTTACTTTTTATTAAAAGTTACTTTTGTATGGTATGTTTCTTGTTTTTACTTTCCGCACTGATGATTGTTTTAAAACTTTTTTATCTATAACTTTTGTTTCATATAATTGAAACAATATTATTTCTGTTAATTAGCTTTAGGTAATGAGTTTTGTTGTCTCCTATAATTGAAGGAGCAAGCTAGTTTTAATTACCTTATATTTCGTTGGAGATCTTTAATTAATAAATAAAAAAAATTATGTTTATTTTCTTATTAAGTGGTAAAACGATGTTTACGTTGCACAAAAAACTACAAAGGCAAACTAAATTCCGTTGTCCACCAGTTAACTTATAAGTAAGCAAAGAACACTACTTTGAAGTTGCAATAAGATTGATAACGATTGTGTTCGCGACGGCCTAACAACTTTAAGAAACAAAGTGATGAAAGAATATAGTTTTGTATAAAAAGTGAAATTACCAACGAAATCGAGTAAATATAGTAATAATAATAATAATAAAATAAATAGTTTGTTAATATAGTTTTACAGTGTTTACAACTCTTAATATATTTGTATAGAATGTCGTTTTGATAATAGTTAATATAAACAACTTTAATCGTTTAAGAAAAAATCGACCAATCACAGAACTTATCGTAGAACTTTCTGGAAATTTAATTAATTGCGCAATAGTTTATACCAAAAATAATGAGAATATTTTTGTGTTCTAAAAGAGTTGTAAATATGACATTTAGTTAGCATATGGTATATAGATTAAAATTGTGAAAAAATAATATGTATAATTAAACGCATTTGATAATTATAGAAAAATTAAAGAATTAATGTACCCATTTATTATGAAAATTTGGGACATTTCGTGTAATAACTTTTTACAATGTTTATGTATTAAATAACCGTTATCATATACCAATAAAGGACCAAAATGCCGATTTAATGATGTATAGCATCTTAGTGTAGAAATTAGTGTTGTATAGAAAATATTGCAATTTGTGCCAATTACATAGTGAAAATGTTTTAAAATAAAGAGGCAAAACGGGAAATGGCAAGCGGCTCACTATACAGTATAGCCGAAGTCTACCTTATGGGTGCGAAACCCAGCAACGTTGTAGTAGGAAGAACTACCAGTGACAAGCAGTAGTATCCGGTAGTAGCTGAAGTGACTAGTAGCAGAACATAGTGAACAGTAATAGTGAATTAGAAAAAGTGTTAGCTAGCCGAAAAAAGTGATAACTGAAAATTCGCAGTTACATTTAGTGAAAAGTGTTGGCTAGACGAAAAAAGTGGTAACTGATATTCGCAGTTACATATAGTGAAAGTTATAGCTAATTGCAGAAAGTGGTAAGTGATATTCGCAGTTACACAAGTAATAAAATCCACTAGTTTTAGTTGATTAATAGCTGCTAGTCAGTAGTGTTAGAAAACCAGCTACTACCAATAGATATTTTAATACTACCGCACATTTGAATTAAATCTTTTGAAATATATAGTGACCAACCAATAGTGAACAACCGTAGTTGAACAACCGTATTCAACAACCGTGGTCAATAAATAATAATTATAAAATTTCGCGACTAATCAATCAGTCGAACCGCTGGCCACTCCCTTGCTATTTTAATTTATAAATCGTGCATTTAAATTTTGAACCTCAGTCCACAGTTTTCCAGCAGCACACACAGAGACGGCAGTGAAAGTATCCTCCTGAACCTATAGGTGTAGGATGTGAGCGACTCGCGGAGTATCTTCGACAACATTTACTCCGGAGAGTTACGCCCGTCAGGCAAAGATTGAACAAGCTAATTGTAATTAATCCCTCTACAAGACGCAAAATTATGTACACAATTCACTGAGAATTTGATGTGACTATATTTTATAGAATAAGTATCACACAAACGACCAGACAGTCCACCTGATAGTAAGTGAATGATGTGGCCCATAGACATCTACATTTATTCTCAATTAAGAATTAAAAATGCAGATGCGTTGTCCCTGAGAAATAAGATGAAATGCCTCTATTGCACTAAAAAGGGTATCCGCTTATCTACACTCACCATACGAAACACAGCAGCAATAAGTTGCTATTTTACTCTGGTATTCTGTAAGTGCGTGGTCCTACCCCGAATGAGCCGACGCATTCGTGCTACAACCATAACCAGTGTTTTGAAAATAATCTTTTGTATTGACCGAAAGCAGAGATCATGCCGAACATGACGCAGAAGAGGCCACCGACGATAGGCTGCGGGATGATGATGAAGACGGCGCCCAGCTTGCCCACAACGCCCTGAAGAACCATCAGCGCCGCCGCCCACTGCACCACGCGCCGCGACCCCACCTGCACCACACCACAACTATGCCTTATCAATCAATAATTACAGCCAAACAAAAAAGTCCACAGTTGAACATAGGCCTCCCCATAAATTGCCTTATGGGTTTACCAGATGAAAAATCTAAAAGTCCTGACAAATAACCTGATTTCCATATAAAAGTCCCGACATTTCGTTGCAAACATAATTAACTACTGTAGAAAAAATAAATGATTGGTTTTGTATCACGCGATCAATTCACGTCTCATATTCCATTTTTTTTTCTTTTATATAATAAGGGTAACAAACGAGCACACAGTCCACTTTCAGGTGGTAAGTGGCTGCTGTGGCTCATAGACATCTACATCTATCTTCGTTTGCGAATTAAAATGCAGATGCGTTGTCAGCCATGAGTACTAAGATGGAATACCTATTTTCCAGTAAAAAGGGTCTCCGGTTCTCTACACTCACCATACGAAACGCGAAAGCGTTAAGCTGCTATTTTATGCTGGTATTCTGAGAACGTAGTCCTTCCCCGGTCGAGCCGACCCATTCGTGCTACAACTATACTATTAATATAGCTGCAGCATGGCTCTACCACGCTGCAGCTATCCATCCCTCCCACGTAAAATATCTACTGAATTTTATTAAAGTATTGAAAAAGCCTGACATTTCTAAAATCCGACCGCAATCCTGACAAGAGCCCAAAAGTTTTGACATCTTGACATAATATAGTATCGCAACTTATAGGTGAGATATAATATGTCATAGTTAGTAGTTCCCACGCTGGGGTTTTTTAGTCGTTGTTAGGAAGACACTGCCCATCTCCTGGTTTTTTCCCCTGTCGCCCCTTATGACACCCGCAAAACGATATGGGGTAGTGGATATTCTTACATCGCCACTGCACGGTCTACAGCACATCACAACACACTAGATCCACACAATTTTACTTCTTCTATCTGGCAACTAAGTCGGGTTCGATCATCGCGACATCAATGAAATCGTAAGTTCCAATTTTAAGTGTTAATTTACCACCTGCTGGAAGTTGGAAGAAAACAGTGAGCAAATCCGCACCCGTCTGAAGAAGGAAATTATTTTTATAGTCATTATGTTCGCCTAAACACAAGAAAAGCTCGATAGATGCTTCCTTGCCCTAAAACCGTAAACCATAAAGTCGTATATAGGCCATTACGTTCCTTTATTCTTCTCTATAAAACACACAATCTAGTTAACTGAGTGCCTTACTACTACACTGTTTCTTGGTTCGAATCCTAGTCAGAAGTTTTATTTTTATTCATACAATACTTAAGAGGAGCACACAAATCATTTAATCACACATAACACCGTGTGGTGCCCTTTAGCCCCTTCGCTTGAAAGTGACATTCTCTTTTTTTTTAAATAAAAAATATTTATTCAGTAACAATGGGTTTACAATACAAATATCGAGTCTAGAGATCTGCTTTCAAGTATTAAAATAATTGTACGAGGATACCTCGCTCTTCCTTATTTTTACCACAACATAACACTACATTTTTTTATAACAAATGAAAATCAGGAGATAATAAGGCGTGTGTGTGTGTGTGTGCGTGTAAGTTAGCGTGCGTGTGTGATTGCGTGCGGGTATTAACTTAGATTTATATTTATTAATAATGCACCCGTATAGTTAGTTATAAAACCTTGTCAAGTTATGCACTAAAACACAACATACTTTAGCGATAGATCACTGAATAGTCACTGATCTATCGCTAAAGTTCTCTTTCTCTCTCTTTCTCCTTTTATCTATGGAGATAAAAGTTATAGAGACAAATAATGTTCCCTAACATGTTTCTAGAACAAATCAACAATTAAGTAGTCTTACCTTTGTAACACCAATAGCGCCGACATTCTCTCCGAACGTGTTAGTACCGTTGCCAGAACCCCACAGGCCCGCCAACATGGTGCCCAGACCTTCGGTACCCAGGCCGCGGTTGATCGCGTGCAAGGGTGGGGGAGGCGCCCCTATTATATAAATACTTCATTTTAGACTAGTTATCGATGATGATAGCTAGAAAATTATATTGTTCCTATGCAATATTATAAATTTAATAGTTCATTTTAGTTACATTTAAACCTTATAACCGGCTCTTACACGAAGGCTTAAGAGGAGATTCGGATACTTTTGTGTATACAAACGGTCTCGCCTATTTTCTTTCTGGTTTATGACGTTATAGCAATGGGTTTTTACAGTAAAATAAATATCAACCTCTTCTATGTCCCTATGTTTTCATTTTTGATGATACATTATCTTTATTATTTATTTATTTATTTATTTATTCACAAATTGCGTTACATGTGACTTAGAGACTAAACAAAACATGCAAGTTGTAACAATCACATGTACCTCGAAAGGCATAGCAATGAACAGGAGAGGGGCAGACACTTAAAAATTATTTTCCTCAATGTATTCATTAATGGAATAATAACTTTTTTTAATAAGTATATCTTTTAAAGATCTTATGAATTTATTAATATTTGTTTCGGCTTTTATGTATTCCGGCAATTTATTATAAATTTTTATTGACATCGAGTAAGGACCTGTACTGTGTAATTTTAATTTAGATTTTGGTTGCAAAAGGTTATTCTTATAGCCAGGTACGTTGTGTCGGGGCGCGTCTTTGATTTTGGTGTAAAAACTTGGGTGTCTTTTTACAAATTTACATATTTCTAATATTAGCACAAGTAACCCTTACAAAATGCCACTGTTGACAGAAGCCTAGTGTTCAAATTTGATAAGTAATACTCAAAAAAGATAGGAATTCAGTGTTTATCCTTGTTATTCAGTTTATGAAATATCTTTTAAATTGGTCCGATATTGGAGGAAGAAATGGTAGCGAGCCAAATGTCGAATTATGCCTTTTTACTTAGGCTATTCAGTCGGATCTGCAGTTGTCCTTATCGGACGCCGAGCGCTCGCAGAGCGACAGCGATAGTTTCTTCAAATACCTAATTTTCAAAATTTTCTCGGCCCGTATTTCCTCTTAATTATGAGAAGAAAAAAAATAGAACGAAACAGAATAGTAAAATAATTTATTCAGTATAGATCATAAATAATGCATGCTGAAAATCATTTTAAAATCCAACTCGTATTTAGCACTTCATCTAAGTTATTCTGTAACGATAAAGTAAACGTCTGTTCATTGCATTCGACATATTTTATCCTGAGATTTCCGCTTCGACAAATTTAATTTTAAAAGTTTTCTTGGTCCATCTGTCCGATTGAATTTAACCTGAATATTTCTAACGTAACCGGGCTGCACACCCGGCGTAAATTTAAAATTCAAAAGATAACATTATCATACGGTAGAGCCAAGCTGTGGCTGTACATATGGGCGCACCACAAATAGGTCATCTCGCCCGTGGAAGGAGGACCAAGTTCGTTTAGAATCCATCCATCCATTCCATTACAGCCTATAAAAGGCGAGTTGGCAATCACGGTTTTTGGAACGATGTTCCTTATCGGACGGTACGAATTTGGCTAGGCGAGAAAAACGACCCTTTCTATAGTGCGAGCGAGATGGAATAATATCCATCTCTCTCGCTCTTTTTCTTATCTTGCCATAAAATAAATATTATTTTAAATGACGCTTCATTTTAATAGACGCTAGTAATAATAATTCAACTATTTGTATTTGTTAATCAATAATATAATACATTTATCAATAATAATATACTACGAAAGGAACTTCGTTCCAACCAAGTGTTCCACGACACTCGCGCATGTTTTTTGTTATTATCTTGAGTTGTTAGGAAGATGCTGTCGCCCATCCCCTGTTTCAGTTTCCCTCTGTCACCTCTTACAACTTCCACGGGACAATATGGGCCACTGTGCGTTAGCTTAGAATACCAACGTGAAACACCAGCATAATCGTATGGTGATTCTTGTGGTGACTGACAAGAACCGCAACCATTTTTACTGATTATTTTTTTTTGGAGTTTATGGCCTGGTATCTAGACCTTTAGGCCAAGTCTTAAGTATTTTTATTCGGTTTATTGTAATTTCCCCACTCCTTCATAGTATACTGCTTCACAATATGTTGATGCGTCACATTGTGCAGTTCTTGGGAGATTTTGGCGGCAACTTGATCCAGCAGACAGCTGATAGTTGGCGATGGTATCTAAAGGTGCCTATGCAAACAAACAGCTTATCTTGAGAATCCATCACCATCAGAGCACTTGTTTCACTGTTTCCACTAATAGTTCACATGCGTAGACACTTAATACACAAAATCGCAACACTTTTACATATCAAAGTCCACTTCAAACCATTATTTAAACAATAATACAGGAGCAGCAAACCGCCGCCGGTCGATTTCCCGCCAAAACTCCGATTATTTATTTTCTTAATCCTCAGGGTTGCCATAGATCGTTTACGTTACGGTCAATTTTTATTTGTATTTTCAATATGGTAAATTTTTAAATGTAAGTTTGTAATTGCATAAGTACAAATGAATGAATGATTTAGGGATTTTTCCTTGATTTATGCCGTTAACGATAAGTACCATATAGGTTTTGATTTCTTTGCGAGTATCAAAATATGTCGCATAAATTTTTGTATAAGCCCTAATTTTTTTATAACTAGAAGGGACCGTAGACCTACGTATTTGCTATTAAATTCAACTTGATATCTCCACGCGTTCCTGAGAAAAAGGGTCATGACAGACAAACGGTTCCGTGTTTTCCTTTTGAGATACGGAACCCTAAAAATAGTTTAGAATGTTTAAGTTGAAACAATGTTATATCTTACCACACATCCTGGCTGTGGTCGGGTAATAGCTGATGGACTCCACAGTACAAGCCAGAACACCGGCCAGCATTCCTAACACGCCGGCAACACTCACTGTCGGTACACCCCATTGCCCTGTACAAGTGTTACGAGGTTACGAAAGAAATATATTTTATAAATAGTCTGGATAGGTACCTTCCTCTTTCTTATTTTGGCCACCAAGCAGCAGTACGAATGCAGTAGTGGTGCTGAAGGGTATAGAGATTAAACGTGGTAGAGACATGCTCCAGCTATATCATAGTTGTAGCACAAATAGGTCGGCTCAACTGAGGGTGGCTACGTTCTCAAATCGTATGGCTGCTGTGTTTCGTATGGTGAGTGTAGAGTGCATTCCGATGCATTCCATCTTAGTCCTCACGGATGACAACGCATCTGCACTTTGATTCTTTATCGAGGGTTGACGTATATGCCTATGGGTCACAGCATCCACTTACCATCAGTTGGACTGTGTGCTCATCTGTCACACTTAGGCCCGTATTAATAAACGTTACTCGGCTCGAGTACACGCACTTGAGTACAATCTTGAGGTTATGATCTCATTAATAAACATATCTGAAGATGCGGTTTAGGTTTACGATATCAGCTGAGTGCCATACGGATTAATAAACGAAACTCGACTCTCAAGTGTGTGTGTACTTGAGTGCAAGTCACAGAACAGTATTCCTAAGTACAGCGTTTTCGATCTGTCGTGCCGTTACTGTTTTGATGTGTTTATTAATTAGCAACGATCTTAAAATGCTGATATCGTAATGAGGGCGTATCAAATGATTACGCACTTGAGTTCGTCGTTGAGTAACGTTTATTAATACGGGCCTTATTCTGTAAAAAAAAAAATAGAGAGCCAATATAATTCCAGACTGTGAGGTGTTCCATCTTAGTAGTACCCAGACGTAATAACGCATCCTGTAGCCCTCTTTGTTTGCAGTTATTTGTAGGTGTTCATGGGCTTTAGTGGCCACTTACCATCACGTGAATTGTAAGTTCATTTGTCACTTTTAACTTTCTCTCTTCTTTATTAGACCGTAATACTATTAACTAGACATGGGAATCCCCATCACTACCATCGGGAACATTATTTTATTATTATACTATTACATAATACTATATACATTATTATATATAGCATAGTAAGATATGTTACATAAAGCCTCGTATCGATTACGCGCTCCTGGCGCGCGCGCCATAAATGACCGCTCCGACCAGTGCGTTCCATGGAACGTGTTCCAAATGTTCGAAGTGTATCAACTAAGCGCGCCTGGCGCGCGCGGCAGTTTCAGTGTTTGGCTGTTCAACATTGATGTCGGTCCATGCATATTCTCTGAGCGCTTTATTTCGATAAAAACATACACACAGCAGTTATTTTGAACCATATAATTTTATCAATTTTGCCGTAAATTATTGTTATATTATAATTGTATTAATTTACGGCAACGCTGGTTATCCATAGCTCGAAACGCAACGTACACACGAATGATGAAAACAACCGTCCTTACTGGCGCGTGCGCCAATACTTAACTACTACGGTAAAAAACCGACACCAGATGAACGGCCCGCTCCAAGTTTGATTGTTCCAATGAACAAATTGGCGCGCGTTCCAAGGCGGTATCCATTTCGCGGGGCTGGAACGCGCGCCAATATTCGACCTCTTGGAGCGCATAATCGATACGCGGTTTAACAGTCATCCTTATAATTAAGGGTATACAATAAATTAATATCTAATTCAATCCCTGCGTATTAGAACTAATCTACTCTAGAACGCGCCTTAAGGGCAATTAAAGCAAGTGATGCGGTCTCAAATGACTCACTCTTGAATAAGCAGACTTGATTGCTTAAGTTACCCCGTTTTACCCGGTTATATATAAGGCAATCAAGATTAGTCTGACTATTAAAGCGACAATATGTAGCATTAGTCGTTCATTTAGTACGTTATGAGGTGTCAAAACATGGAATCGGTCAAAAGGGGAAACCTCCCATCGGGTGAGGTGTTTAGCCCGGGGAGTGAGAGGCCAACACTGCGTTGTAGTACGGAACTTGTTTTACATATTGCTATGTCGATCGAAATTTAGAGGCCTCGGTTTTAGTCCGATCCGTTCAGAGGATTGTGAAGTTTTAAATTTTCATGTAAAAAGTTTTTCCTCCTGTAAACATAATCTAATTTTCATAATTTTTTTTTATTAAACTAAACTGAATTATTGAAAAAGAAAAACCTAAATTATTAAAACCTAGATTAAGGTGTATTGAATCTAATGAGACCAAAATTTTCTCATCTTGTAAATTTTTAAGGGGGGTGACACGTTATCGCACGAAACAATATTTCATAAAGGAAATATAACAATTGCTATCGTACGGCGATATACGAGTACTGAGCGAGCGGTATGAAACAGATAGCATTTTTGAAAATATGTAGTTGCGTGACGACAAATTCGTTTATTCGTTTTTTTTTTAATTTAATACAAATAATTTTTATTTTAATTTTATTTATTTATTATTAATATTTATGTGATAGTTTATATGTGTATATGTTTAGATATTTGTTTGCATTTTACATATGATTGAATAATAATGAATACTGTTACGTTTATTTTTTGTTAAATATTAATTAGTACCGCGGAAGATCAGCGTCGAAGAGCTCTGTCATTAACAAGATCATGCTGAGTTGGGTATCTTTTTATTAACAAATTACCATATTTAAAATATACTATTACTGTTTGTTGTAAGCAAATTGGAGTAATGTGTTACTCAATGAATTTATTAGCTTGGTTTCTTTCTTATTTTTATATCAAGTAAATCTGTTATTTAATTAATATCTAAAATAAAGCAATTCTGCCTTATTTCTTCCTTTTATATAGGCTTATTTTACAATAATCGGCCAAATTTGCAGAATAGGTTCAGAATAAGTGATATAGGCAAATGGTGAAGAAAATTAAACTAAAAAAAATCTCAAACATTCTGTCTTTTTATCTTTTAAATTCAAATGTATGGTAATGCATTATTTTAACTGATTGTCATTCATAAATATCTAACGCCTACTGTTTTACTACTCGCCCACATATTCATAAGGGTCGATCGGTTGGCAAAAACGTTGAGAATTTAATCGCGCGCTTACGCGTAGTTCTTGCTTATAAATCACATTCAATTTGGGATAATTTCAAATAAAAGTAGAAGCCTTATTTACTCGTATTTTCAAGAACTACAATAACGGTATATCATTATTTATATAAGGTAAGGCTATTCTTTGAAAAATAACTCTGTATTCATTAGCAGACCGGGGTGATGAAATAGATGATATTTCACCCCCGTGACTCGGAAAGCACGTAAATATGTTGCTCCTGCACCTGATCCCTTTGCGGTCGTGTTGGGTTGCCATCCAATCCGACTATAAGTGACATAGAGAATACACCTGTGCTTGCGTTCGTACTCGTGCACTATAATCCTGTCCTGTGATGGCTAATATCTATTGACTGGCCACCCTGACTGGAGGAAGACAATTTAGAAATAAACTCACATCACAAAATTTAAATAAAGAACAAGTAAATAAATGTATTAGAAGTATATACATACCCATGTAGAATAAGAATGCATTGTTTTCGTCGCATGATTGTAGTGTAATCGATTTTTATGAATAAATAGTATAAACAGAAGGATATCGAATCTCAAGGTTTCAATACCTACTTAATATCGAGATCGCACCCACGTGAAACTATATATAAATTAAATATTAACCTGGATATGGCACTCTGAACCAGGGGGCGTCCTGTATTATGTTGACCTTCAGGTCGGTGCGCGCGGGGTGTCCCGCAGGAAACACGTCTGTTACCGTCAATATACCACACACCGTCCACATTATCGCTATCGTAAGAAGAACCTGAAACAAGTCGCTAAGTAAATACAACTGGAAACGCCAATAATAAACAAGATGGTTACACCGCCATTGGAAGACACAAGATTTTTTGGCACTTCCCATAGTTCCTTCTTACGGCACCCATGCGAGGAAATGGGAGCCTATGCGAGGAAATAGTGTGATGAATTATGCTACGCCGCAAGCACACGACGAAAATATATTGTGAAATATATAACACGACGTACAATTTATATAAATATTATTTTATATTAATTTTCGTGTCTCTACCACGTGAAAATGCAACTATACAACTACTTATTACTTAAAAATCACTTTTACTACAAATCAATACCATCTTTTACAACGTTAAGAGAAAAGAAAGAAAAAAGAACTATTTATTTCATACACACATTTTACACACAATTCAAGAAATATACAAATGCAAGGGGCAAAAATATGCATGCACACGTCTAACACTGCTTACGCATTACAATTATTAATAAGCGGTACATACACATCGTTAATTAATACTGAAACAAAAAAATCAAATAATAAATTAATAATTTAAAATTATAAATTTTTTACAACTGATTTTAATATAAATTATTAAGATTAACTCAAAAATGGTTGGTCAAACCTTGATCATAGACCTTGATCAATATATGCGACCACGTGTGAAGCACCAGCTTTCGAATAAAAAAAGAATCATCGAAATCGGTTCACCCAGTAAAAAGTTATGAAGTAACACACATAAAAAAACATACAGTCGTACCGTTTCCTTTTTTGAGTCGGTAGAAAAGGAATTTAAAATTAAAATGTGTCATCAAACAGGTATCCAACTCAGTATAATGCTGCAAAGGCAGCGATGGTTTTCAGTTGGAGTTTTGTGACTTCACTGACAAGTCGGTGTGTGAACCTCAAATTGTTCAAAAAATACGAATACGCGTAACTACGAATTACACACTTATTAATAATTACTAGCTAGAGAGTAATGTTAACGAACACAGCTAATACACGCATACTGAGTAAATGTTATATAGTAGTTGTATAAATGGTGTATAATATATATTTATATAATACCTACAAATATACTGACACATAAAATATTTGGCTCTATGGGGAAGACATATTTTACTTTTTTTCATAAAACCTAAAACGCAAGCAAAGTAGCAATAGAATTTATGATTTTAGTACAGCGATAATTTATATTCTGTACTCAAAGATACACTTCATGTTACGAGACCTTCTAGATTTTTTTTAAAAAAAAATAAGATTAAAAGTAATTAACAATATATTAGGTCCTTACATATGAAATTAGCGTTTTGTCGTACTGACCACTTTGATCTGAAACATCTCCTCTTTGGTTAAGAATTCCAAATTCAAATTTATAAATTCATTTAGCTAATACATTTGCTTTTAGAAACAGTCATTCATTTGTTTTTTCCTCATTTATTTATCTTTGGCGCCAAAACATGAAATATCGGTATATTTACGAGTACGGGTTCTACCGTGGCACCAGTGCTGCAGAAACAGCTCGAAGGATTAATGATGTGTACGGCGCTGGTGTCAAAAGAAAGCATGGTAAGTATTTGGTTTCAACGTTTTCGTTCTGGAAATTTCGACCTTCATAACCAACCCCGTGGACGGCCGGAGACCAAAGCGGAAAATGAAGAATTAAAGGCTATTGTGGAAGCGGATCCATCACAAAGCACTTCAGAGATAGCTGCAGGCTTCGGGGTAAGTGATAAAACTGTATTAATCCACTTGAAGCAAATCGGGAAAGTAAAAAAACTTAAACGATGGGTGCCTCATGAATTGAGTGAATCGAACTTGCAAACACGCGTCGACTGCTGTGTTACTTTGCTCAACCGACACAATAAAGTAGGGATTTTAAATCGAATCATTACTTGTGATGAAAAGTGGATACTGTACGATAATCGGAAGCGCTCGTCGCAATGGCTGAATCCTGGAGATCCAGCTAAATCCTGCCCTAAACGAAAATTGACTCAGAAAAAGTTATTTGTGAGTGTTTGGAGCGCCGGTATCGTTCACTACAGCTTTCAAAAATCTGGTCAAACGGTTACGGCAGGTATCAATTGTCAGCAACTGCAAACCATGAAGGAAGAACTAGCTGCTAAACAACCGAGATTGGTCAATCGCTCTAGGCCACTGTTGCTTTACGACAACGCAAGACACACACTGCACAACAAACAATTGTAGCTCATCTAACTTAGTGGTTAGATGAGCTACAATTGGAATGTCTGCAACATCCACCGTACTCCCTGGAACTTGCTCCAATAGATTATCATATTTTCTGGAATTCGGTCAACTTCTTACAAGGAAAAAAATTCAACTCCAATGCAGCAGTCCAAACCGCCATCAAAGAGTTTATTGATTCTCGCCCCCATGGTTTTTTTTAGTAAAGGGATCAATTATCGGTGCATACTTTGATTAATTAAATATATTTTACAGAAAAAATAATTGACTTTATATCCCGTACAAAACGCCAATTTCATATGTAAGGACTTAATATAATCATTCATCAAACAGAAAGAAACACCTTAATAATCAATAACATTTGAGCATAGTAGATAAAAAGTAAATAAAAAAAGTGTAAGACAATATAAATATTATTATCATATTGCGTTCGAAACATAATTGTATTACATATTTTGAACTTGTTGTACAAAATAATGCAAATTTAATTTGTTTTTAAAACTATTTAATGTTTTTAAGGAACGAATAGGTGGTAAATCAAAAACAATGCATTGCTGCAAATTTGAAACTGACTCGAAATGCAGCAGTGCGGTGTCGAGTTGTTACGAGTACAAGCGCATGAACGGAAGCTCTTGTGTTATATTTATTTTGGTCTCGGGCCCACTTCAACTTTTGGAACAGATATATCGGTCTCTGCTTTGTTATTGTCGAGAATAATAGAGTAGCAAGGTGTAATATTCTACGGGCAGTCATTTTAAGTAGATTGGCGTCATTTAAATAAGGTGTTACATGGCTTCGAGGCGCGACAGTAAAATAAAACCGAGAAAACACGCATTTTGCACCCGCTGTATGAGCTTTTCTATCCTTCTCAACAGTCGACGTCCATAGGTTGTATCTGCATTGTTTAATTTGGACAATATTAATAACTCACACAATCTTATCCACGTATATAGTGTAGATATACTGAGGTACTGCCGAACTTTGTAAAGTAACTTCGAACGGTAGAAGCAACTGCGCACTCCCTCCAGTACATGACTTTTAAAGCGCAAATTAGAATCAAATATTACACCTAAATTTCTAACCTCTGAGACTTGCTGTATATGTTATGGTTGTAGTACGAATGGGTCGGCTCAACCGGGGTACGGCCACTCCCTCACAGAATACCAGCGTAAAATAGCAGCTTAACGCTGCTGTATTTCGTATGGTGAGTGTAGAGAACCGAAGACCCTTTTTGCATTAAAAAGGGGGAGACCCTTTTTCCAGTAAAAAGTGTCTCCGGTTCGAGAGAAAAGAACGAGAAATTTCATCTTGGTCCTCAGGGGTGACAACGCATTTGTATTTTGATTCTTAATCGAGAATAAACGTAGATATTTATGGATCACTGCATCCACTTACTGTGAGGTGGACTGTGCTCGTTTTTCACCCTTATTCAATAAAAAAATACGTTCGTTATCAATTAAAACTACGAGCTGAAACATTGATACATTTTCATTATTTTTATTCGTTCCTAGTATTAAAAATTGAGATTTTTGTGGACTTAGCACAAGAGAATTTTGCTTGGAGCATAACAAAATACGTTTGAGATCTTCATTCAATGATTTGACAGCAGATTCACAATCTCGAGGGAAAAAAGATTTATATATTTGCAAGTCGTCTGCATATAAGTGATACCCCACATTCTTTTATGCAATTAAAAGGCTTTTTATATTAATGTGGGTAGTTTAAGGGTTAAGCGCTTGTCATAAATTTCACAGTGCGCGAATAACCCGGATCGCTCTCGCCGACGCCTATGAAATGTGAAACTTTTGTTAAATCTTGATTTACACCTGCATGTCAAATAAATAATAGTTATATTTCGAGATCAAGGGCAGAAGAAAAAGATTTGAGAAGGAAAAATTCCTCGTAGAAATATAATCAATAATAATTTATTAGACTCTCAGTTTAACTAATTACGATTGTGTATTATATCTATTTTAAATTACAAAATAAAATTTCAAAGAACTTAGCATTGACGGATAGATTAATGATATGTCATTTACACTTATCATTAATCTATGGCATTGACGGTTATACTAGTATAAAGTATAAATTGTGTTACAGCGTCAGCGTCTTCAACCTTGAGTAGTACAAAAATCATTTCATTTCAAATGAGAGAAGGTTTGAGCCTAGACACTTGAGTAAGACGTAAATAGATCGTAAATTTTATTACAATATTTACAGAAATAAACAGCTAAAAACTAAAAGTATCATACTGCCCCAATACCCACAGTATAGTGCCAAGAACGCTTGTTGCGTATTCTCGCTGAATGGCTTATAGCCTTTTAGGAGAAATATAAACCAAACCTCTTTTTCATGATTTATATCTAACATGAATTTTTGAATATGATATAGAAGAATTATATGACGTCTCCATGTCTCGCCAAAAAGTCTTATACACTGCAGTGACATGGAATAAACGTTATTCTAAAGACAAAATTAGGTTTGTTTTTTTTACTATTTAAATGAGTGGCCAGCATAGATTTTTAACCATAGCCTTTCGTACCGAATCTGTATTCCGCGAGGATTTAGGAATTTATGAACCGTCCACCATACGACGGATAGTATTATTGTCAGGGGCGTAGCTACCGCCGTATCAGCCGTATCAACGATATGGGGCCCCCCGGCTACTGAGGCCCCGAACGTATGTAAGCAAAAATTCTATGGACTTCTATGGAACAGGATGTTGTTTTGAATTGTTTGACTAGCTTAGTTTCTAGGAGTATTAATTGCAAGTAATAACTTATAATCAATATACTTATAATTATTTTAATTCAATGCGAGAGTTTTTGTTCCTTTTGTGAAAAATCTTTACCCTTCAATTGCGCCCCCAGACAAATTTTGATACAGGTGCCCCTCTAAGGCACGCTACTCCACTGGTTATTGTTTTATCCTTTTATAAAAAAGTAAAAACAGCTGCAAACGCCCTCGTTGGTCTAGTGGTCGTAAATGGGATTGCTAATCGTGAGATCCCGGATTCGAAGCCCCGGTCGGGCCAATATCACTTATTGGGTTTTTCTGTGAAGAAATTCCCAGTAACAGCCCGAAATTGTCAGTGTTTCACCCCCGTGCCCCGGAAACCACGTAAAGCCGTTGGTTATGCGCCTGATCTCTCTCCGGTCGTGTTGGATTACCTTCCTATTGGACTATGAGAATGAGGAAATAGAGTGCACCTGTGCTTGCGGATCCACTTGGGCACTACAATCCTATCCTGCGCAGATGGCTAGCCTCCGCTGAGAAGAGAGTCCCGGAAGATACTATTATTATTTATTAAAAACACCTGCAAGCAATGATCTAGGAGAAGTTTTGGCAATTACAAACTCACCGGAAACAATTTGAATAGCGGAAACCAGGATACGCCGCAACCGGAACCCTTTTTGTACGCTACGGTCGGTATTTTGACTTCTCCCATACACTGAGAGAATATTGTTAATAATGTAAAAGTCCTGAAACAAACAAATATAACGATAGATAAAAAAATATTGATCAACATTCTTGCAAAATAATGCTGCGGTCAACATATTTTATTATAGGATAGGGTGACAAACGAGGACACACTCCACCTGATGATAAGTGGTTGCTGTGGCCCATAGACATCTAACTATGACTAAGATGGAATGCCTCTTTTCCAGTAAAATGGGTCTCCGGTTCTCTACACTCACCATACAAAACACAGCAGTGTTAAGCTGCTATTTTACGCTGGTATTCTGTGAGAGCGTGGTCCTTCCCCAGTCGAGCCGACCCATTCGTGCTACAACTATACTACTAATATAGCTGCAGCATGGCTCTACCACGTACAACATATTATAAAACATAATACTCTAGAAACCGATAAACTTATTTAAAATGCAATTTCTCAATTACGTGACAATCGTATAGCAAAAAACTTAATTATAATATCAGGTGAACTGCAAGTTTGTTTGTCAATTCAAATTTATAAAAAAATATGACCATTTTTCTTTTGACATTTGTAGATTATGTAGATTTAAAAAAAATTAAATCTGTGATGAATTTGAATTTGAATTTTAAAAGCTAACAAAGAGGTACACAAACATTTTTAAAATACTGATCGAACGCGTCGGAAATTTCATTACTCGTTTTCACAAAAGCGTATTCACCGATAAAGTACGATATAGCTATAGTGTAGAGTGAGTCTAGAGAGTTTGTGTATTAACGGGCCTTTGCGCCGGCCATTGTTTGCATACACAATGCGAAAAGCTCTCATAATCATGGAATTTGCAATACTTCGACAAGTAGAAGTGCTACAAGTAAAAGACGATCGCGTGTGACTCTTCAGCGTGCATGTTATTGCATACATGCATGGTATGTTCTACTATCGCCTAAAAATTAAGATTCCAACGTTTTATCGAAAAAAATCGTATCTAGCAATCATACTATACATATAAATGATATAAAAAGCACATTATTAGAAAGATAAGGAAGAATATTTTTTTAAATCGATTAATTGCTATTTTTAAATGAAAAAGGGGTTTTAGTGGCATAAGGTGTGGATTTATCATGACCCCAAGGCTTGTAAACACAATAACTTTTGAAAATATCAGTTGTTTAACTCAATCTATTTTTAATCTCTTCATCTATCATGTGGAAAGCCACTGAATGTAAATGGCAGTGTAATTTTGTTTTGTTTAGCTATAATTAATTTTTTTCGGCTCCAAATTGGCGAAATTTTCGTTGATTTGGTAGCCTTGTATGTAAATTATTTCTGTAAATGGGCAGCTACAGCCACAGAGTAGTTTACTCACACTAAGTACGGCGTCAATCGCCGTCGTGAGTGGACATTTTTTCGGTTGTTTGCAGCGGCTCAAAAAGATCGCTGTACAAATACACAATATTCGAATAAGTTAAATACTTTATTATAATAATAATAAGAGATTTTTTTATTACAATATTTTAAAAGCACAGAATAAATAATAGTAGTACGTACTAAAAGTAAGTAGTATCAATTTTTTCATCTTGGGTGTCATTTTCATTGTTTTCAAGGATGTTGAAACCGATAGGGTTGTCGAAATGTAAATACAAGATGGCGGCCGCAATAGGTTTCAATTTTTTCATCATGGGTGTCATTTTAATGGTTTTCGAGGGTGCTGAAGCCGATAGTGCTGTCGAAATGTAAATCCAAGGTGTCGGCGGCAATAGGTATAAATTTTTTCATCGTGGGTGTCATTTTCATGGTTTTCGAAAGTGTTGAAGCCGATAGTGCTGTAGAAATGTAAATCCAAGATGGCGGCTGCAATAGGTATCAATTTTTTCATCATCGGTGTCATTTTCATGGTTTTCGAGAGAGTTGAAGCCGATAGGGTTGTCGAAATGTAAATCCAAGATGGCGGCTGCAATAGGTTTCAATTTTTTCATCATGGGTGTCATTTTCATGGTTTTCGAGAGAGTTGAAGCCGATAGGGTTGTCGAAATGTAAATTCAAGATGGGGGTTGCAATAGATATCAATTTTATCATCATGGGTGTCATTTTCATGGTTTTCGAGGGTACTGAAGCCGATAGTGCTGTCGAAATGTAAATCCAAGATGGCGGCTGCAATAGATATCAATTTTATCATCATGGGTGTCATTTTCATGGTTTTCGAGGGTGCTGAAGCCGATAGCGCTGTCGAAATGTAAATCCAAGATGGCGGCCGAAGTAGGTACTAATTTTTTCATCATGGGTGACATTTTCATGATTGTCGAGGGTGTTGAAGGCGATAGTGCTGTCGAAATGTAAATCCAAGATGGCGGCTGCAATGGGTATCAATTTTTTTCATCATGGGCGTGATTTTCATGGGTTTCGAGGGTGTTAAAGCCGATAGTGCTGTCGAAATGTAAATCCAAGATGGCGGCTGAAGTAGGTACCAATTTTTTTATCATGGGTGTAATTTCCATGGTTTTCGAGGGTGTTGAAGCCGATAGTGCTGTCGAAATGTAAATCCAAGATGGCGGCTGCAATAGATATCAATTTTATCTTCATGGGTGTCATTTTCATGGTTTTTGAGGGTGCTGAAGCCGATAGTGCTGTCGAAATGTAAATCCGAGATGGCGGCCGAAGTAGGTACCAATTTTTTCATCATGGGTGACATTTTCATGATTGTCGAGGGTGTTGAAGCCGATAGTGCTGTTGAAATGTAAATCCAAGATGGCGGCTGCAATGGGTATCAATTTTTTCATCATGGGCGTCATTTTCATGGGTTTCGAGGGTGTTGAAGCCTATAGGGTTGTCGAAATGTAAATCCAAGATGGCGGCTACAATAGATATCAAATTTTTCATCATGGGTGTCATTCTCATGGTTTTCGCGGGTGCTTAAGCTGTGCTATTCGTGTGCTATCGAAATGTAAATCCAAGGTGGCGGCTGCAATGGGTATCAATTTTTTCATCATGGGTGTCATTTTCATGGTTTTCTAGGGTGTTGAAGCCGATAGTGCTGTCAAAATATAATCCAAGATGGCGACTGCTATAGATATATCAGCTGCTATATCAGCTTCAACACCCTCGAAAACCATGAAAATGACACCTATGATGAAAAAATTGGTACCTAATTCAGCCGCCATCCTGGATTTACATTTCCAGAGCACTATCGGCTTCAACATCCTCGAAAACCATGAAAATGACACCCATGCTGAAAAAATTTATACCTATTGCAGCCGCCATCTTGGATTTACATTTTGACACCACTGTCGGATTCAACACCCTCGAAAAACATGAAAATGACATCCATTATGAAAAAATTGGTAATTTGTTCAGCCGCCATCCTGCATTTACATTTCGACAGCACTATCGGCATCAGCACCCTCGAAAACCATGAAAATGACACCCATGATGAAAAAATTGATATCTATTGCAGCCGCCATCTTGGATTTACATTTCGACAGCGCTATCGGCTTCAACACCCTGGAAACCCAAGAAAATGACACCCTTGATGAAAAAACTGAAACCTATTGCGGCCGCCATCTTGTATTTACATTTCGACAACCCTATCGGTTTCAACTCCCTCGAAAACAATGAAAATGACACCCAAGATGAAAAAATTGATACTACTTACTTTTAGTACGTACTACTATTATTTATTCTGTGCTTTTAAAATATTGTAATAAAAAAAAATCTCTTATTATTATTATAATCAAGTATTTAACTTATTCGAATATTGTGTATTTGTACAGCGATCTTTTTGAGCCGCTGCAAACAACCGAAACAATGTCCACTCACGACGGCGATTGACGCCGAACTTAGTGTGAGTAAACTACTCTGTGGCTGTAGCTGCTCATTAACAGAAATAATTAAGATACGAGGCTACCAAATCAACGAAAATTTCGCCATTTTGGAGGCGAAAAAATTAATTATAGCTAAACAAAACAAAATTACACTACCATTTACATTTAGTGGCTTCCCACATGATAGATGAAGAGATTAAAAAATAGATTGAGTTAAACAATTGATATTTTCAAAAGTTATCGTGTTTACAAGCCACAAGGACATGATAAATCCACACCATAAGCCACTAAAACCCTTTTTTTTTAATTTAAAAATAGCAATTAATCGATTTAAAAAAATATTAATAATTTCAACAATCATTTATCTTTCTAACAATGTGCTTTTTATATCATTTATATGTATAATATGATTGCTAGATATGCATACATTCAGGGAACAAGGATTTGTATAAAACTAAGGATTCATAAGAAATGCGACCGCAAAAGTAAAAAAAAAAACTGGCATTGTATTACACGGCCAACTCCGTTTTGCTGGAACCTTCTAAGTTGAAAAATATTTTTAATACTATTTCATTAACACATAGTAAAAAAGTTTTCTTTCTTACAAAGCGACGTAAAACGCAAGCAACGCAGGGTTGAATTATAACAATAAGTCCAAAGTTTTCACCGTCAAGTTTTTCCACTGCTTTAATTCTTTAAGCCTTTCATATGGCAAAATTTTAATTATAATTTGTTTGTTGTATTATAATAAAACAGACTTAATAGATTTTTTTTATAGAAGAGGGGGTAAACGAGCATGCGGCTCACCTGATGGTAGGTAAGTGTCGTCCGCCGCCCACGAACAACTGCAACATTAGGGGAAATGCAGGTGCGTTGCCGGCCTTTAGACACAAGTTGGCTATATCATTTTTATTAGACTTGATAATCTAACTTGAATATGTTGGTGTACAATTGAGCTACGACCACGGATTTTAATACTTTTTAATAAAAGTTCGTTGTTACTTTTGTCTGTCGCAAGTGCAGGTAGAAAAACGCCATTTTCCACTTCAATTTTAATCTCTGTTTCACTTTCTGTCTAATTTATTCCTACTACTATTGTTATAATGGGGATATTTATTTTGTTTTCTCGTCTGGCTAGGATGCAAAAATACTTATTAAAATATATATAAACATAATATATTACTAACAATGATACCACCTGATTTATACGACTTTTGTTTTTCTCTCTCTT